TTTTTTTTTTTTTGTGTGTAGTGAAAGAAGAAGTTCCAAGTCCGTACACCGGAATTTCAAATCCCGGCACCGCCGTTGCGGCCTCTCCGATGATCGAGATTGCGGCGGCTACGGCTGCCAGCGATAGAAGAAGAAGGTACAGAGGAGTACGGCAGCGCCCGTGGGGAAAATGGGCGGCGGAGATTCGTGATCCGCATAAGGCGGCTAGAGTTTGGCTCGGGACGTTCGACACGGCGGAGGCTGCCGCTAGAGCATACGACGAAGCTGCTCTCCGATTCAGAGGAAACAAAGCGAAACTCAATTTCCCTGAAAATGTCGGATTACTTCCTCTCCAGCAGCACATTCCGCTATCCACCCCTCAATTTGTTCCGCCACGAACGGCGGCGCTTCAGATACAGAATTACCGGGATTACATGGAATATTCCAATTTCCTTCAGAGCTCCGGCGACTTACTTGGACAACCTTCGAGTTTACTGCAGCAAATGTATTATAATGCGCACTTGACTCCGTTTCAATATTTGCCGGCGCCAGCGCCGTCGTTGTCCTCTGTTTCAAATTCTGTTTTTATTCCGCCGCAGCAGCAGCAGCAACAAATGGGGTTATTCCGGCCGCCGCGGTCGCAAAATCAAAACCAGGACGGCTCCGATTACTTCCCCGGTACGTCGTGGAATGATTCCGGTGGTCCGTCATCCGGTTGATTACGCTGTTTTTTTTTTTTCAAAAAAAAAATAAAAGCATATTTATTTTGGATTATTTTATTTTTGTTCGAGAGTTTATCCATTTTTTATTTTGTAGACGATAATTTCTTTTTATATCTTTATTCCGAGTTTTTCATGTTTTTTTTTTATAATTATCTTATCAAAATTTCTTCATTCTGAGGTAACATTTTAGTTATTGTCTTATATATATATATATATATATATATATATATATATAACCAAAAAAACATTTAATATTAAGGGCGACGCGTGTCATAAAGATATTTAGGTTAAGTTATAAAAAAATACTTTAAATTTCATCACTTATTTTAAAATATTTTTATTGGAATATTAAATAAAAATTAACGTTTTCAATTCTCTTTAAATTTAATTCAAGCATATTTTGTACCTTGCCTTAAAATACCACTAAGACTTAAAAAAAAAATACTCTTATATCTTGGATTTTAAAATTAATTAATTAATACCTTACAATATTTTAAAATCAACCATTAGTACTATATTAGTTTTAATCAAATATTTTAAAATTAATTAATTGATACCCTACCTTGCCTTAAAAAGTTTTTTTTTTTAAAAAAAAGCTCAAAAATATTATTGAAAGTCTGAATATTTTTTTAGAGAATGTAAAATTTGAGAGTATTTTTTATTAATTTAGTTGTTTTTTTTTTTTTTTCAATTGAACAAAATTAGTTATTTATCTAGGCTATTTCCTAATGATTTGTTAGTTGATTTAAATTATTAGTCAAAATAAACGCTTAACTTATTTTAATTGATCCAATTTGGTCAATTTCAGTCAATTAATTAAATTTTATTAAACAATTTGGTTTGATATTAATATGGATGTTTTATTTCTTACCAAATTGATAGGCCAATACTTGACATCAATATTAAAAAATAAATTAGAAATTAGAAAAGCAAAAAAAGAAAAATGGTCTCATCAGGTGTGCACGTGTCACTGTCTAATTTGCAACTGTGATACACATGTTTCTATATGAGAAACACGTGGACAAGATCTTCTAGAACATATTCAAATATAAAATTTTAGAAAGAAACTAAATTAAATTCGCATATAATTTAAAAAATAAAAAATAAAAAAGAAATTCCTATATGCAATTTACTTGAATACCCCTTTATTGAAGTTTACGTCATGAACAGCCTTTCGCCATGTCCTTTTCTCAACTTATTTAAGGAGCAAGAAATAAAATAATTAAAAAAAACGATGATGCCTTTTCTTTTCCTTATTATAATAATAATAATTATTAACGTCACTATTAACGACACGTGGGCAAAATATAATTGACGGGTCAAAAGTGATCTCAGGAGAGTGGGACCACGTCGAACTTACTTAATTCTCTAAATTATGACACGTGGGTAATTATTAGAATTGCGCACACGTGTCCCACTAAAATGTTTTAGGTCGGTCGGGTTTTGCGTTGGACCGATTGGTCGCTTACCTACCGCCAATTTATCGGGTACGGTGTGAACCCATGAAAGAGGGTACGGGTCTTTGTCGAGTTCGGTTCACCAGCCAATGCTCGAGCTGCCACGTCATGGATAGTCAGCGTTGACCATTGGAATGGGACCCAAAGCCTCTCCCATTGACGCAAACTCCTCGGTCCGCTTCTCGGGTGGCTGGGCCCAAATAAGGCCCACTCCCCACATTTAGTCTACCTTTCAACAGATAATTGGAATGGGCTTTAAGAGATGAGACAAGCCCATCTCCTAAACTTGAATCATTTTCTACGCCAATTACTAAACTATAATTATGTTAATCATTCATATCTTATTTATTAATCTTTTAATTTAATAAAACCAAGACATTATTCCTAAATAAATATTTTTTTTTCAATTTTTTATTTATTTTACACAATGGATTTAAGTAATGATTTTTTTAATATATATTTATACCCAATATAATTCTACAAAATTCATTATTAAAAATGATAGAATTTTTCTTACATTAATTATTTTTTATTATTATTATTTTAAAATTTTGAAAAGGAATTTGAAATTTTAACGAACAACCACCAAGGATAATTTTGAAATTTTAATGATTTTTTTTTTTTTTTTTGTAAAATTTGAAAATCAGATAATTAAGGAGTTGACTATTTGAACACGTACCGTACCCTAATCATTGACTAGAGATGCGAGGTGCCCAATTCCTCACCCCATCTTCCTCGAACGCTCCTTCGTCGTCACTCGCCGCCCTCCCTTCCATTTCCCCTCAATCTCTCCTTCAGCCATTGAAATTCCTTCCACTTTCTCTCTCAGAACAGGCCATGCTATCCTCCTTACTCATAGTTTTTGCATCCCTCTCTAGTTTCATCGTCGGAACCCTAGTCCTCTTCTGCGTCTTTTTTTTCTACCAACAAATCACATCCAAGCATCGAATTACTCGCCACCAGCAACTTCGCAACCGCAATTTGGATCTCTCCTCTGTCACCGTCGATGGAATCGCATCCTTCGATCCTTCTCTCTGTTTCTCCATGGCCGAACTGCGTTCCGCGACCAAGAATTTCAGTAACGATTTGATCGTCGGCGATGGCACCTTCGGCATCGTCTATAAGGCTCGCCTCTCCTCCGGCGATAACGTCGCCATCAAGAAACTCAATCACGACGCGTTCCAAGGATTCAGAGAATTCCGAGCCGAGATGGAGACTCTCGGAAAACTCCGCCATCGGAACATCGTCAAGATCTTGGGATACTGCGTTTCCGGCTCTGATAGGCTCTTGATCTATGAGTTTCTTGAGAGAGGAAGCCTCGATTACTGCTTGTACGAGACCTCCACTTCGGCGGAGGCAGATAAGGATTCCGATGGATATTTGACCTCGACGCAGCCATTGCCTTGGGAGACCAGGTTGAAGATCATTAGAGGCGTTGCTAATGGGCTTTCGTATTTACATGGGCTTTCTCAGCCCATTATTCATAGAGATATTAAGGCCGGCAATATCTTATTGGACTCCGAATACGAGGCCCATATTGCTGATTTTGGGCTGGCACGTATGATTGATAGCTCCAGTTCGCACGTGTCGACTCAGTTCGCCGGAACTTGGGGATACATGCCGCCGGAATACAGGGATGGAGTGACGGCGGCGACTGTGAAGGCTGACGTGTATAGTTTTGGGATTTTAATGTTCGAGGTTGCTATGGGCCGGAGGCCCAATTTGCCGATGGTACTGGAGGATAGAGAAGTGGGCTTAATAGAATGGGCCAGGATTTTGGTGGCCCAAAATAAGCATATGGAAATGGTTGATGCAAGCATTTCGAAGGAGGATCTAGAGGAGACAAATGTGAAGGAGTATTTTAGGATTGCTTGTTTGTGTACGAGTGAGAAGTCCAAGGAAAGACCTCTTATGTTGAATGTTGTCGAGTTGTTGGATCAGATTTGTGTCATGAAGTTGCACGACAACAACGAGTATCAAAATAAGCTCGACGTGTAGTTAAGGCAGCGACGACGGTGACGATGATATTCATGTGGGAAGGAGATTGGTAACATTTCTATTAAGAGGAATGTAAATAGCACTTCGAGCCAACTATTCAAATAGGTCGATTGTAGAAGGGGGATGTCGAGATTTTGTCTATATTATTTTTTTTATATATAAATATATATAACATATATGTGTCGAGAGAATAGTTCAATGATGATCTTAAAATAATTGAAATTCATTGATGATGTGATTTAGTTGTAGGTTATGTTGTTATATTTAGCTTGCATCGTGAATACATTTAAAAATTAAGTTTCATGTCGAACTTTGAGCATGACATTACATTTTTTATCAAAAGGTCGAAAGTTTGAATTTTCAAAATCCTTTGAGTTCAATCCTTCTCCACTCGGACCAATCTGCCTACTCGGCTTCTTATACTTTTAGTTAGTCGTGGGCCCCCTTACTTAGTGGTTCTAACCAAGGAGCACGCGGATCCCAAAAACGCATAGTCTCTCCCTCCCCTAGGGGAAGGGGCGAAGCCACGAGACCGAGAGATTCTCGACGTTTTATAGAGTTTTGATTCAAAGACGAAAGAAGAATCAATGATCGTTCACTGTCAGTAAATCCTCAAGATTCATTCTATCTCTCCCATTTCTACATATTGTATTAAAAAACTGATAATACATTTTCGATAAAAAAAGTCAACCGTTTGAATTTTTGTACTCAAAAGAAAAATTAGAGTGTCAGTATCACCCGAACGTTCAAGTTGGTATTGTACTTTTGACATTGTGTTGGTGAGAATAGTTCAGTTAGGTCAGCTATGACTATCCTTAAGAAAGAACTTTATATATAACAGAACAGTAAGCATTGCAAGGAGCACAAACTTGAATGGCAATTTGTGTATCAAACAACAAATCTCAAGAACACTATGAAATGAATTACAAGATGTAGATACATTAAAAATTAAACATCGACCTTGTTCATCGTGTCAATCGAGATCAACTATCCCAAAATTTGAAAGGAGGATCTTTACTTGATCAACGAAGTTTGACCCAGTTGCATACTCTGTCAGCAATCCAACAGCAAAACCAAACATTGCCCACCTGTTGGGGAAAAACGTCTCAGTAAGAGAAGTGATGACCCTTAACCAGTCAAATGAACAGCTGATTGTTACTAGCAAATATGAGATTCAGTAAAATATGGAATGAAGGTACACAAAGAACCAGTTTAACTCAGTCAGATTCAAATCTTCAGGAGCAACATCTAAATCAAATACATTCCATTTCCATAAAATCAACACAAAACACATGGATATGTGTGAGATCCCACGTTGATTGGAGAGAGGAACGAGGGCTAACGAGGACGCAGGGCCCTGAAAGGCGTGGAGTGTGAGATACCACATCGATTGGAGAGGGGAACGAGGGCTAACGAGGCCGCAGGACCCTGAAAGGGGTGGAGTGTGAGATACCACATCGATTGGAGAGGGGAACGAGGGCTAACGAGGACGCAGGGCCCTAAAAGGAGTGGATTGTGAGATCCCACATCGGTTGGAGAGGAAAACGAAGTATCCTTTATAAGTATGTGGAAACATCTCCCTAGTAGACGCGTTCTAAAAATCTTAAGGGAAAGCTCAAAGAGGATAATATATACTAGGTGGGATTGAGCTGTTACAATATTTGATCTTTACCGTGATTCTTCTATCAATTAGATCCTTTATCTATAGAATAAAGTATCTAGACATTCATATTTCTACTTCTATGAAGTTTCTTTCTTTGCTACAGCTCATTAAAGATCACAGCCATAGATTGTGGTGAAAACGGGTTTTGTTCTAGTGGCTGAAAATAATACTTCAAAGCTTTCGTATGTTCTTCATTCCTTGCGTAGATAAGACCTATGTTATAGAGAATATAACTTCGATCATAGGTATCGACTTCTTATCGCGAACATCTAAATCAAATACATTCTTAATCTAAATTGAATGCAGTAACATTTGGATTTTGAATAAAATCAGCACAAAACACAGTGGATATGATTCTCGAACAGAAGCAGTCGTACAAACGATCCTCCAAACTATATGGGAAATGGATTGGTTATCCATGAAGATAAAGAAAGAATTCTTGTACTTGTGCTAAAAGGAATGGAGTTCACTAGTTTAGGCACTTGAACATAATCAAAACTTATAATGGTGTTCATTAGTGAGGATATCCAGCTTCAAAATTTAATAATCATCGATAAAATCGGAGGAGAAAAGAGGAAATGAAATCACCTCCCATTGGAAATTTCATTCTTCCCGATGAAGCCAAAGAACGGTCCCTGATCAGCCTCATCAAGCTTCTTCTGCTTAAAATACTCCTGAAGCTCCTTAGCCTTCTGCCTCTGAAACTCTAAAGTGATCGTATTATCCTGTTTTGCAACATACGCCTTTGCCGACGGCTGAGAAAAAGGAGCCGTCGCCGAAGTAGGAGTCGGCTTGAGAGGAGGCGGCGGCGAAGGCGGCGACGGCTCTCTCAGAGAAGGAGCCGCCGGTCTCCTGATAGGGCCGTCGGTCTGAGAGCTCCGAATGGTGAAGACAAAAGGTTTGGAGGAGGAGAATCTGATGGAACTGTGAGCGGACGATGAAGAAGTGGAACTGACAGCCGAAGCCGACGGAGAAACGGCCGCCGACGACGAGGAAACGGTGGGGATTTTGATTTTGGCAAAGGGGAATGAACAGGCCCCCGACATTTCGCCTTCTATCTCTGAAATTTCTCTATCAGATTCTTGTGGAACTGAAATGGATTCGGATTTGAGGAATTGAAGTCAAAATCGAGTGGATATGTTTGGTGTGGATACGATGTGGCCAAGTTTCAGAAGAATACAAGCCATTGAGGGGTTTAGGGAATGAAGAAAGACAGCCCATTCAGTCGACTTTCAAGCGTATGAACAGCCATTTTATTAATAACATTTATAATTGAATATTTTGAGGCCGTGTAAGCAAAATGGTTCTATGGTCTAGTGGTCAGGACATTGGACTCTGAATCCAGTAACCCGAGTTCAAATCTCGGTAGAACCTATTTCGTTTTTTAGTTTCTAAATTATAAATAAAATTTTATAATTAATATAAACTTGAGACGTTGGTACTAAGACATTGGAATACAGGTAGAATCTAAATTCGTTTTCTTTATGAATTAATAATACAAAATGGTTCTATGGTCTAGGGTAAGGACATTGGACTTTGAATCCAGTAACCCGAGTTCAAATCTCGGTAATATAATATTTTAGTCCTATTATAATATATGTGTTTTGTTCAAAGTAATAATGTTCTAACCATGTGCATACTTTAAAAATTAATATTAAAAATTTCATTATTCCATATTCATGTGAATGTGTGTACTACTAGTTAACTTAAATATAATTTGACAAACAGAGTAAAAAATCAAAATTTTGAATTCACTTTTCTGTTTTTATGTAAACAAATAAAGTTAGCAAAAAGCTTCTTTCAAAATAAATTTAAAATTTGAAATAATAAGAGTATAATAAGAACTTATTATATAGTTTATAAAAAAAAAATATATTTGCCGTTTAAATAAATAAATATATATATATATATATATATCAATTAGTTAAGATAAATATCATAAACTAATAACACTTGTATTATTTTCTAGAAATGAGCCCAAAAGCCATTTAAAAATAATTTTAAAGGTTCATTGTCATTTTCAAAGTGGGCTAGTTTGAACTTTGAGAGGCAACGGTAAAAATGTGGAAATGACAAAAACAAAATTAATCTCAGCGCACCGCTTTTTATAATTTTACTCAAAAAATTGTAGAGGATTTGGGTCCCACCAGCCAAGTCATCATGGCTAGCTAGTGACCTGCAGGTTCAGTTTAGTCATTGTTCATGCGGATAATTTCAAGCTGAAATGAACGTCTGTTCATTTTTAATCCCAAAAACATTTCCACAAACAGAGCATACACTTCAATGATAGAATTGAATCAACAAAACAGAGTTCATCTTAATATCATCCTAATCTCAACCAATCAAAAGCTTCCTTTTGAATACCCAACAGTAAATATCCCCAAAAAATTGTTCATAGAGTAAATAGTAACAAAGAAATAAGGGAAAATACAGTGAAAAAGCAACAAAAAGTGCTGAAAAGTGAAGGTCATCCATCCATGTGAAAAAAGAAACTTACTGAAACCAGCACTACTACGGATAGATGATCATCGTGAAGAACATGGGAACCAGCAGAATTCCTGGTTTGGTTTCTGTTTCTCTAAAATAGCTGACAAAGCTTCCTCTATCATGAAAAAATCTTAAGCGAACAAGTTGATCTGATTCGAGTCAGCAGATTTTTGAGGATCTTGAGCACACATCATCAATGCTAAAAATGGGGTTTGAATTACATGATACTGCATAAACACCTCCTTTTTCCAATATCATTTTCATCGTCCGATACATTTATTTCACTGCATTCGGGATTAAGATTCAAAATGATCAGAAATACAAACTTAGATGGGATACAATCAGCAAATTCTGAGCAACAGGGTTAGGTTTTTGGTTTTACCACGCCAAGAATTTCATCTGTAGTATGAATTCGATCTAAGGTCAATAGACAAAACTGTATGATTTGTATATTTTCAAGCTAGAAGGGTGTTTTAAGTTATTTTTAAAACATGAGAATATGATCTGCACGAATAAGAACTATTCTAAAAAATAACTGCAATCTAATGAGTTCTACTTATTGAATAGAGTTCTATGGTCGTTCCATGACTCCTAGATATCGAAGGCGTCTATGAGGTGATCTCGTAGTTCCTACGGGTGGAGACGATGGGGTCACGCGTGAATTAGGCTTTACAGAGGGCAAGGTTGCAGCAGATAGAAGTGGCCATTATAACCCGCATTAGTGTCACTATGAAAACTTAAAATTTTCCATTGTTCAAAAAGAAAGCATGGAACACGAACATGCAATATTTCACAAGCTTCATAAATTATGATTCTTCAAAAAATTGAAGTTTTCATACCTCGGTTCAAATTCTTTGACTTCAGCAAGCTCGCTTCCACAAGTATCTATCCACTGCACTTTCCTTCTTTCTACACGACTGGAATCACAACTACCCTTTACTCCCAATGCTTCATTTCCATCAGCATTCCCAACAGAAACTACAGTAGCATCTGAAGCTTTTTTCAAGCTACTTTTAAGCACCATTTTGCTTGCAAGATTCTCATCACTTGAACTAAGAACTTGATTCTTGCCATTATCAGAAAGAGGAGATGTTTTTAAACTATCTTGGCGTTGTGTACTGGCTGCTTTCTTCAAAATAGATGAATTTGGCCCTGCTGGATTATGGCGAAAGCAGCGTAAGGAGGAGGAGGCACACCTCCAGGAAATCCACGTCTTTGTTGAAGCCAGCTCGTTAAGGTCAGGCTCTCGGTCCAACAACAATGGCAAAACTCTCATGGGTTTAACTTCGCTCTTCTGACCCAAGAAAAGAAGGGTCAAGCTACTGCTATAACCAGAAGCTGAAGAAGAAAAGAACCCTCCGCCTTCTACTAACAATAACATCAGTTGTGTTCATCTGGGAACCCAAAAAGAATGTCAACAACGATCCCTACTCAGAATATATGAGTACCCCTCCCATTCATCCATCTATAACTCAGAATCAAAATGTTCATTGTACCTATCACCATCGAAGTGTTCTTCTGCACGTAAGCTCGACCTCAGATGTTGAAATTTCTTTCTACTAATCCGTGCCAGGTTGCCTGTAGTTTAGAACTTAATCAAAATGGGCCTAGATTTCTAGTTTCTTAAAGCATTCAAATACAAACTAAAAGCATAAACACAAGCAACAAAGTCCTACGAAATCTACACTTCAACAAAAGATTATTCAACATCGTGATGCCATTTTCAGTCATAAATTACCCTACAAAGATATCGCCAAACAATATGCTAAAAAGAATCGAAGTAAGAAGACAGAATCAGATAAAATCATGATATGAAAATAGCATGCTCGACATTTTAAACGCGGAATTTTCTCTACCTCTCCGACAAGTTCTCCAAATTTCAAAACTGGAGGCTATGGCCGAACTTCAATATTCTGTATTATTGAAATCTAACCACTGCTATGGATCCAGTGGCGATTTCACATGGTTAAGAGAATGTTCAAATCATCAGCATTATTGAAACAGAAAATCGGAACAATTTCATTGCAGCCAAAAAGTAAAGAAAGAAAATGACAGGCAAACTAATAAATAATAGGAGTAGATGAAGTTAATTCGTGAAAGAGGAAACAGAGAGCTACTACTACCGGACCACATGCGAAGAATCTCCCGCCGTTATTCTAATCTTCACGAAACTCGATAAGATATAACTTTCTCCTTTCTCCGAAACTCCTAAACGATCCAAAAGCTCGGATAATGAATTGAAATCTGCAATCTCCTGCGCAAAAATCAAGAATCGTTTCAAACAAAAATTAACAATCAAAACGAGCATCTCACTGGCCATTACGCTCTGTTAAATGCAGAGATAAGTATACAACCATTTCAGAAATCTACAAATTACTTCCACTTGAGAAGACCACTACAAATTACCAAACAACTCTTAGCAAAATGAGGTTTCACATTCTTCGAAACAAACACAAATTCGAAGAACGAACGATCCATTCGATTCGATTCCTCGGGTACACAAAAATGACATCGAACAGAGAAGGAGAAAAGTGTGGCTGTACCTGACTGCAGATTCGAACCAGATGTGACAGAGAGAGAAAGAATAACGCAACAAAATCGTCAGAGCCGCCGAGTTCACTCCCGAAACTCTGCCGATTATGCTGGTGAAAATGGCAGAAGAGGTAAGAATCGCCGAGGAATTGGGAGAGAGAGCAGAGAATATCTTAAAGAATAAAAGAAGAAGAAAAAAAAATTAGTAGAGCAGGGAAGACAAACATGGTGACTCTCAGGCGCATGATAGTGATGGGTCCCACCTATATTTTTTTTAAAAAAATATTTAATTAACCTTCATTTATAATTATTATTTTTTCTTTCTTTTAATCAAGCAAATAAATTATTTAAAATTAAGATGGGGCCAATCGTCATTTCCAACCGGGATTTTTATTTAAATTCTATTTCCAATAAATAGGGATAAATTTTAATAATCTCTCTCAAATATTATGGCTGGTTTGGAATCATTTTTTATTTTTATTTTATTTTTTAAGAAAAAATTTAGTACAAATAATTTGTTCTTAATACCTTAAATCCTCTAATATCTAGTTTTTTTGGTTTTTTAAAAAAAATTAATTGTGATTTTAAATATAAAATTAATCAATAGATTAAAGTGAAAATCTATCTAAAAAATTTCAATAAAGTATAGACACAATGATTATAAATAAATTAAGAAACATGAAAAGAGAAGGAGAAGAGAAATCAATTGTTTTTAAATATAAAAATAAATAAAAATATGAATGCTTAAATTGATTACCTCAATGTTTTTTTTTTTTTTAATATAAAATGATTTTATATTAATTAAAAGACGTGGAAATAAGTGTTGGAAGAAAATTAAAAAAATATATGTATATATTTTTTTTAAATTAATTCAATTGAAAATTGCTTTTTAGGCATCAAATCTTCCTGACATGCTTCTATTTTGGGAAACACTTCCAAGATTTTTAACCAAAAATTATTTTAATTTTGGCTTTCATTAATTACATGTCTGCCCTCTCCTTTTCTTTTCTTTTTTTTTTTTTAAATAAATAATTATTATTATCACTTTTTAGGCACTAATTTTTATGCTAATTGCTATTATCTTTTATGGTACATTAAATAATTACTTAGTTTTTTTAATATTTTTATTAAAATCCAAGTGATTTTTTAAAAATATGAAAATCATTTTAGAAAAATGGTATGAAAATAAGTAAAATTTTAAAAAATTCTAACTTTAATTAACAACTTTTTAAATTCATAATTTTTAATTAAAATCTTATTTACTTTTTAGAGAAAAATTATAATTGGCTATATGATAATTTAAATTAATATAGTGAAATAAAAGTACTTTTTTTGGAACTAAAAAAGTAATAAATGTGGTCCAAATATATAAATCTTTTTATTTTCTAAATTTTTTTAACCATTTGTGACGAACACAGCAACTTTAAAAAATAAAAAAGAATAAATAATGTACTTTATTGTTGAATAAAAACATTAATATATATTATTATCTTACTGTATTTGGCTGTAACTTTCCCCTTTAAGATATCAAAAGTTACTTTTTAGTTAAATTAACATCACTTTCAAATTCATCATTATATTTAAATAGGTAAATGAAAGTGTTATTAAAAATTTTAAAAACGCTCTGATCTAAGTTTTGGGAAAACAATAATTAAATTTAGAATTAAAAAAAAAAATAGTCCTCTCGGTTACCACTCTAAAAAGTTTATATTCTTAAATAAAAATACTATTTTCATTAATTTTAAATGAAACTATTCATACTTTATTTAAAAAAAAAATAGGAGAGTTTTTTATTTATAAGCGTCTGAAATTTAGTTTTAATATTTATAATTTTTTAAAAAATTAATTACTATCGATCGAAATTATTTATCTATCCATTTTCTTCGAGTATCTTTCTCTCCACTTCCATGATGTAGAGATAAATGATTTTAAGCTCATAATACAAATTTTGTATTTGATTTAAAAAATATCTCTAAATTAAAAAATAACAATATTTTTAAATTAAAAAAATGTCACTAGTACTTTATTTTATAATTTTTTTTGAAATTTTAATTATATCAAAAAATATCCTAAAACTTTAACCATTCTCATTAATATCTTTTAACGGTATAAAAATGATTAAAAAAAAATATAAATTTTAAAAACATAAATAGTTTCAATATATTGATGAAAATAAATTATTAATATTTCATAGATTATCTTATAAACTTTTAAATGCAGTACTATATATAAAGATATTTTAAATATTTGAAAAAATATATATTTTTGTAAAAATAAATTGTTAACGATTATTACTAAGCTTTTAAAATAATTTTGAAATAAAATTTTATTAATTTAGCTGTTATGATTACACTTTTTTTAGTTGAAAACCCTAAAAGTTTGTGTGAGTATATGTAATGAGTAAAGCAGAAAGTTAGAGATAAAAGGAAAGGGGAAAAGATTGGACATTTCTGAAATGGAAATGACAACGGTGGCAGCCTCCCATTATTCTGTCCCTAACCCAATTATGCCTTTGTCTCTGTGGGCCCAAACAAGGCCCAACACACACCCCCTCTCTCTTTCCTCTTTTTTATTCATTTTATTTTTTTAATTTATAATTATTTGTATATATTTTATGCTAACATTTAAATTATAACCTTTAATTATGTACCAAAATCATTAATATTTTTAAATTTTTAAAAACGACAGAATTGGGGGATTTTAAAGGTCTGAAGGTGGGGGTTTTATGTAACCCTATACCCATCATTTCATTTATTTCTTTTTAATTCTTTTTTATTATTTTTATTATTTTAAATTTTATTGTTATTTATTAATTTGGTTTTCTCAATTTTCTTTCCCTTTCTTACTTTTCTTTTATTATATTTTTTGTTGTTGTTTTTTTTAATATGATATTTTCCGATTATTTATATTTATTATTATTATTATTATTTGTTCTTTTTATAACTCTCTTTCTAACTTATTTTTATTTATTTTTTTTTTAATTATTTGCATGTGTGGTTTTGGGAGTTTCTTTTAGCTATTTATTTTTATTTACAATGAAGTGTTGAAAAAAGTGAAATAAATTAATTATATTTAATTTTTTTTTTAAATATAAGGTTTATAATTAATTGTTCAATTCGATTTAGTATTTAAAATTTTATTAAAATCATTTATTAGGAATAATTATTATAATTGACTGATAAAGAAACTCAAAAACAACAAGTTTAAGACATATTATTTATAAATAAAAATTAAATCAAATACAGTTTATATAATTTTATCATATATTTATCTCATTTAATATAAATTAGTAAAGATTAACATTTTCATTTTATAAACTTAAAAGCTAAAACTTCTTCTTTTTTTTTTTTTTAATTAAAGCTTTTTTAAATTAAATGAATTTTTAGACACAAAATTAAAGCTTCAAAACTATATTACCTTTTTATCTGTGCTCGAGAATTCAACATCAATATAAGCGGTAAATTGACATTTTCGCTATGCTCTAATAAATTAATAAAATATAAGCTAAGCAACAACAAAACATGCACGCACTCGAATTTATAAGAGGCGTATGAATGAACCATAACATAACAACATTCAAATCAAAGAGATGCTAAGAATATACGTCAGACTTTGATTAAAAAAAATGCCTAAAAGTATTTATAGTTACTATCTATATTAATAAGATAATTTTTATTTTATTTTCGCTCAATCGTAAAAGCTTTCATGTTTAGCTTGAATCAACATGAGTGTCCTCCTATAATTAAATAATTACGAGAAATTGTTTTTAAAATGGTTCTATGGTCGAGTGGTTAGGACATTAGACTCTACCGGTTTTATTTTAGTTTTTATAAATTAATTACAATATATATGTGATTGGTGAAACTTGAATCAATTTTTTGTCGGGTGACTTACGTGGCATGATAAAACATATTATATTCCAAATTAAGGTTAATAATATATAGTATTAAGAAGGAGTATTTTAAATTATTTAAAAAAGTATAAAATGTTTATTATTAATTAATTTATTTTTATCATTTACATGAAATTAAAATTGGAAGGTGGGCCCCACGAAAGCCCAACTGGGAAATCGTGGGCATCGAAATTAAGCTTACATCTCTCCACGAGCCCTTTATTGGCCAACTGACCTTCTGCGTTTCCATTTTTTCCACAAATCCAAGAAAAAAAGAAAAAAAAAAAACTCTCTGAATCTCACGAACACAAACGCCACTCTGATTCAATAAAATTCGTAACCATTCGAAATCCCAACTCTTTGCTCTTCCTTCTTCAATCTGCCTGCTCTAAACTGGGTTTTTTTTTTTTTTTTTTTTTTTTTTTTTTTTTTTTTTTTCTTCTCTCTGTCACTCTTCCTCCTTTCCGATTATTCGCCCACACTGTGCCCATGCTTCCTTCGATTTGACGGTATCTGTCGTGATTTTTTTCTGATTCTAAATTCTGTTTTCATGTGATCTCATTTTGTAGTGGTGGACTGTGATTTGGTTTCATCTCTGATGGATCTGTGTTTGCTTTTGCTGAATTATTTGAATTTGGATCTTCTGTTTTTTTTTTTTTTTTTTTTTTTTTTTTTTTTTTTTTTTTTTTTTTTTTTTTTTTTTTTTTTTTTTTTTTTTNTTTTTTTTTTTTTTTTTTTTTTTTTTTTTTTTTTTTTTTTTTTTTTTTTTTATAATTAGATTTCATTTCTAGATCTGCTTCTATTGTTATATCGTGTTTTCGTGGTTTTTGTTTTATGCTGCCTTGATCGTTGTTTTGTCTTTTGTTTTCTGGTGGATCTGTTGTAGTTTTGTTGACTTGCTTAATTAGGCTGAAATTGCTGCTGCTGTTAATGTGTGATTGGTGCGAGTCCTAAGTTTTTTAGTCTCTGACGTGATGCTGTTCGATTTGCAGTGTATTTCGTTGCGTCTTCTGTAAACCATGGAATTTGTGTAGATGTGATCCAATTTTCATGGAAGCTGAGGGATAAAGGTTTTCGCAGAAGTCGTGTAAGAAAATTTGTGACAAATGGCTCCATCCAGCAAAGCGGACAAGAAAGCGGCTGTAGATGCAGCCGCGTGGATGTTTAACGTTGTAACCTCTGTTGGAATTATAATCGTCAATAAGGCTCTCATGGCTACCTATGGCTTCAGCTTCGGTAATTATTTTCTTCATCACTTCCGTTCCTATCATTTACTGTATTTATACCATCTTTGTGTTTCGTCACTTCTGTTTCTCTATGAGATAGAGATTAGGGGTTACTTGCTGGAACTGTCTGTGGTAGCTTAAGAATTTAGTGACGTTTTGTTATTCTCAAGTATGGTCTATGAATTATGATTTTGATTCTCCTTTATTTTTTTTTATTTTTTTTGTTTCTCCATTATCAGTCTTTCATTTCCTGTTTTAAGAAGCTTCCTACCATCTTTAGTAACTCCTGTTTGTTTTCTGCCGCTGTCCATGTGATAGCTTGAGAAATCACAAGATTCTCAAGTTCCACTTTCATCCACTGTCTAAATTTGCACACTTGCAGATCCTTCTTAAAGCAAAATCTTAACTTATATCTTTAGTTAACCTAATAATGGACTGACATAGCTGTAATCTGCACGTAATGTACATGGCTATAATTTTTTAGAAAAAGGGCAAAATAAAGAGTGGGGTAGAAATAAGACAGAGTTATGTATGTGCTCTCTCCCTCTCTGCCTCTGCCTCTCCCTAGAAAATTATTAGATTGACTAAAATGGAAAAATGATGGGATGACTAGACAATGTTCTTCCAAACCAAAGCCTAGGAGATTAAACGGAACCTCTTTAGGTGGCTTAACTGAAAAATAGAATAGTTACAGAATGCGTGGGATAGGTGCTCACAATTAAAAGCTGCTGCTGATTTTTGTTGCTTATCAATAACTGGATATATGTTCTTGGATTTCTCTGAAAATATTCGTTTTTACCAAAATAAAGTCATCCCACAATTTTATCTTTGCTAAGTGAGCTTCAGCTTGTTAATTTTTTTGAACAAAAGAAGTATGTGAACTGAAATTGGGAAAGAATAATGTCATGTGGCATGTATCAAACATCGGGGGAATGCCTTTGAGTATTAATCTTGTAGAGAGAGGTTAACTGATGCTTTGAACGAGTGAGTTTTCCTGTGTATAAAACATCTCAGTGATAGTGTTGGGAAACACAAGAGTGTTCTTATTATTAATCTTGTTATTCTTGTTAATATATTGAACTCTTTCCTGTTTTGCAAAGAAGAAAAAAAAAATAATAATACAACGGGCGAATGTTGTATGCGTTATTGCTTCAAGCACTTCTTGGATTCAAGTTTAATGGCAAATTTTTTAAGAATGTAAAACTAAAAGTATACAATATATAATAAAGAAACAGGTAAAAAATTTCAGTCCAATTGCTCTAGTGTGATTATGAACCTAGCAAAAGTAGGTATGGGGTACGAGTCTCTTTATGTATGAAGTTTGGTAATTGATGATGGAAAATTTTAGGTCATAATAGTGATCATTTAATATGATTTATACATTCATAAGATGCTGCTCGTGGTTGTCTAATTATACATACAACATTATCTTGCAGCCACAACCTTAACAGGTTTGCATTTTGCGACAACCACCCTGATGACTGTTATTCTAAGGTGGCTTGGGTATATCCAAGCCTCCCATCTCCCTCTACCAGAGCTTCTTAAATTTGTACTATTTGCCAATTTTTCTATTGTTGGAATGAATGTTAGCCTGATGTGGAATTCAGTGGGATTTTATCAGGTAAATCCAACTCTTGGTTTGTTTCTTTTATCAGGCTATCATAACTATTCTAATCTCGAAGTTCATATTGTTCTTTTTCTGTTGTCAGATTGCCAAGTTGAGTATGATACCCGTCTCTTGCTTATTGGAAGTGGTCTTGGACAAGATTCGATACTCCCGAGACACAAAGTTGAGCATTGCAGTAGTTCTCTTGGGTGTTGGAGTATGCACTGTAACTGATGTCAGTGTCAATACCAAAGGCTTTATTGCTGCCATTATCGCTGTATGGAGCACCTCCCTGCAGCAATACGTGAGTTATTCACATTCCTCTAACATTTATCTCTAAATCTTTTTTCCGTTTTCGGGTACAACTATGATCTATTTCATATATCTCTAAATCTTGATAAAACTTTGATCTGCAGTACGTGCATTTTCTCCAACGGAAGTATTCGCTTAGTTCGTTCAACCTGCTAGGACATACTGCTCCAGCACAGGCTGCATCGCTTCTATTGATAGGACCCTTTCTGGATTACTGGTTGACAAGAACAAGGGTTGATCAATATGACTACAATTTACCCTCTACGGTAAGTACCTATTGATCTGATTTATATCTTTTTTTTCGTTTTTCTTTTTTATGCTTCATGAACTTGCTTGCTCAATACTGTCGCGTTTTTTGCACATTCACAGATTTTCATAATTCTTTCCTGCTCCATAGCTGTGGGGACCAATCTTAGCCAGTTTATCTGCATAGGCAGATTCACAGCTGTGTCATTTCAAGTTCTTGGCCACATGAAGACAATCCTTGTATTGGTAATGGGATTCTTCTTTTTTGGGAAGGAGGGGCTTAACATGCAGGTAGTTTTGGGAATGGTCATAGCTGTGATTGGGATGATCTGGTATGGAAATGCCTCGTCGAAACCCGGTGGAAAAGAACGTCGGAGCCACTCGCTCCCGACTACTAGACAACAAAAGCATGGAGGTGGTGGTGGTATATCAGATTCTACTGAACATGATGGGAAGGTCTAAAGGAGTTGGCTCATTCCAAAAAGAAAAATTTTATTTTAATTTAATTTGCGGAGTTTAGAATGACGATCTTTATCTTTTTCATATTTATTCATCCTCCCACGTCTAATTTTCATTTTTTTTTTCCACAGTATTCGATTTGTGAGAGGGCATTGTGTAATTCAGAATAGGGGAAAGTTTTCTTGGAATTTTCAATTTTTTTTCTTTTTTAAAAAATTATGATCACAGAATCACATCCTACTAATTTTGGCCATAAACATTTGCGTTGAAATTATCATGCCATGCCATCTTGTGCTGTCATCTTTACATAGCACATTTTTCCGACGAAAAAGGAACTGTGAGCTGTTGACGACGTCTATATCAAGAGAGAAAAACGGATGGATGCGTCTTACTGTTGACTCTTAAAATAATAGTGTCTTATACATTAAATTAATGAGCAAAAGAGGCTAAATATTAAAGAAACCCAATCTGCACCAGAAAATTTAACACAATGTATGAATATGATTTTAATAGAGAATTATTCTAACGTAATTTTCCAATTTTGTTGGATAAATATTACAATGATTCTGGTTATGTATTCATATTCATGACAATCCAAAGTTGGCTTGACTCACTCAGTGAGAGTGAGTATCGTACAATCGCCAAATCTGCTGATAAGATTGTCGCATAGCCTTGGATTGAATCAGTTCTCAGAGGTGCCATTCAAAAAGAAAATATATATTAAAAAAAAAAAAAGGTAGCAAACAGATCAATTGGGTTTATTTCAACAACCTAGGAATCATGATCAGGTTAAGTAAAACAATGAATCTCAGAGAAGATTGATGAACCCCAAGACCAAAAGGAGGCATAATTGACAGAAAAACAAATAAACTCAACCGGGACATCTCAATCTCTATTATGACGACCAAAAATGAATGACCCATATGAAATATAACCTGGCAAAGGTTTTCAAAACCCAGCCAAATCCAAAGAGGTCCAAGCCAATCTCAAAGACTAATTATATTAACCTATTGCATTCAACAGAAGCTTGGAAAACAAAAGGAGAGCAGAAATTTAACGCTTCTTAGAAACACCGACAGTCTTCCCTCGGCGGCCGGTAGTCTTGGTGTGCTGACCACGGACACGAAGACCCCAGTAGTGCCTCAGACCACGGTGGTTCCTGCACAAGATTGATCACAGAATATATGCTTAACACCATATTCATCCCTCAAAACTAGCCCAAGTACCAAAGAATTGACGTTGACAAACATGTTCGCCTAATCCCTCACACAAAAAGAAGATAATAAGCAGACCCGAAAAAAGGTCACATCAACTAATTTTTATGTGAAGATTGAAGCAGATCACAAGTTGAAAAACCCGTCAACCTATTGGCTATGATTTAACAAGAACGATAAACTATTCCTACATATAACCCGAAGAGCTTGAGAATTAACAGATTTGCCATTGTTCAAAATCGACAACACAAACGACATAGTTGTTTATGTTTGCAATCCAATAGATATTATAGAGTGTTCAGCTAAGAAACTTGCCAACTCTGAAGAAAATTATCAGTTCCTACATCTTAACACCATTCTAAAACCCCTTTGTTTGATCTGTGACAAGAACACAAAGTTGAAGGCTTATATCTATCCTAGGGAGCCAAGTAATCTAGTATTTGGTGTTCAACCTGCAACTGTAAGCAAATCTAAGAGTTAACTACTATATACATATATTGCTAATAACAATCAATCACCTGATCTTCTTCAAACGCTCCAAGTCGTCCCTCAGCTTCATGTCGAGAGCATTTGACACCACCTGTGAATACTTGCCATCCTTGTAGTCCTTCTGTCTATTCAAAAACCAGTCAGGAATTTTGAATTGTCGGGGGTTGGCAACAACGACCATGAGATTGTCCAGCTCCGCAGCAGTCAACTCACCAGCCCTAAGCAAAAGAAGCAAACATTTAAAACACAAAACTTACACAGAAGATTACACAAATATAAACAACATAGAACCATAAACTACACGCAAATTTCGAGTGAAAAATGACAAATAACTTCAATTTTTTTCTTTTCCTGTACTCGTTGAACTAGAAAATTTGCCTTAAATCGTAGCAAAATACCATATAAATCAATAGAACTTGAGAGCACCTGAACAGATTATCAAGCAGTGGACCAAGAGCTTGTGGAACTATTATTCTAACGATAATTTAATGGATTGAAGAACACGAATCCAATGAGAACAAGTATAAATATCTCACATGAAAAGTTCTCTTTACGATCTCATGAATATAACAACGAAAGAGCAAGCATTCATTGAATCTGCATACACGAACAATAAAAGAAGAAAAATACCTTTTGTTCATGTCTACATCGGCTTTTTTGCATACCATGTTGGCCAAACGCCTTCCAATACCTTTGATGGAAGTAAGAGCGAACATAATCTTCTGCTTTCCATCAACGTTTGTGTTGAGAACACGCAATATGTGCTGGAAATCTTCGTTCGCTACCAACGACTGAAATGACGATCAAACAAATGTCACGGACTTAGAATACAGAAACAGATTGATCCAAGTACGAAGCATAGAACGATAATGGTTGAGCGTTAGGGCTTACCATTTTGACGGAAGAGGGCGCGCGGATTCCTCCTGATGCTTCTTCTCTCTGAAGCCGCAACGCAACCAACGCCTTAACCACTGAAGGGGCTGAAAATGAGAAATTTATATTAGGGCTCTTCTTCTTCTAGGGCTGAATGCTCCTGTGAAAAGTCCACTTTACCCTTTAATTAATTTATAATACCTGTTCTGGACATTTTTAGTTCGGCCCATTTACTAAATTAAATAAAACAAAATACTAACGTTTAAAAATTAAAATTTCATATAAGACCTGAACTAAGTTAAAAATTGGATTTGGGTGTTCAGTTACATTAAAATTTTAATTTGAACCAGATTTGAATTTGCTACTATTATTGTTATTTGATCAAATTCCTAATATTGACACATGTAACATAGGACATGTCGATTGTATTTTTTTCTTATAGATAGGTGAGTAAAGTAGGTACATAAATATCATGTTTAAATAACGTTATATCAATGTTTGTAATATATATATTTATTTATATATTACGAGATTAATTTATATTCACTACATTAATTTAAACTCTAAACTAATAATTATATTGATTAAAACCTTAAATTTTCATCCATGTATACATTTACACCCTGTTTGAAAAATATTGGTTTGCAACAAAAATTTACAATTAAATCAATTTACATGTTTTATTTGAAAATCATCCATGCATGAATTTTTATATGTATATAGACGTATTCCAACGTCAAATTAATGAAATTTATTCTATCATTACTCCAGCTTAAATTTGTTATATTTTAGATAGTTTCTTTTTTAGCAATTAAATTGATGTAACATATAATATAAAATATTTGGGATATGAACTTTTTTTTTTTTTTTTGTCCCAATTTTTATATAATATTGGACTGTTATTTTTTACTCAATTTAATTTACATTTATTTGTAAATAATTTATTAATATTTTCATTATCGTCCTAATCTTTAGTATTTTAGTATTTAAGTCCATTTACTATATAAGCTTATCTAATATAGGATTTTAAAAAATAAAATACAATACAAATATATCAGATAAAACTTGTCTTTTTACTCTTATTTTAAATTTAGCGAATCAATTCAATTGAATTTAAATTTTAATTTATTAAAACTGATTTCTTATGAACTCAGTATTTGAAAATTTTCTAACTCTTTTTTTAGAACTTATTTTTGTTAAACAATTTTCAATTCATTAATGATTTGATCTTCAATAAAGATTTTATCATATATTTTTTTTTCTTAAAACTAGAAAATCATTTTAATTGTTTCAAAAGAATAATAATATTATAATAAATATTCTATCTATATATATATCCACGTTGGTTAAGATTTAATTACTTTTTGTCGTCATAATTAGAGTAGATACTAACAAATGGTACAAATATGACTCATTTCATATCTCATAGGTTTCAGCAAATTGGCAAAACCTGGTAAACAGTGCTTACAAGTCTGATCGCCTTGCCTGCTTCCGGCTGATGGTTAGCTTCAAAAGTGCACACCTCGACTCGAAGAAGAAAAGGGCACCAAATGTCAGGGTTGTGTGGCAGCCGAGGTCGGCCTGCCTATCGATAGCCTCATTGGTTGAACTAAATGTAGACAAATCAACATGTCTTCCTCAAAATATTTTGCTCCAACTAAACTACCAAAACCAACGACAGCATGGCATGAACAAAATATATGAACCTGAAAACCCTTAACTTTTCGTAGCTGCAAGACCGACCGGGTCGATAATAACTAGGAATCAAATGGGGGTAACATATGCACTTACCTAGAGAAACAAGAACCACAGTAGATGAAATCCCTGCAAGTTCAAGCTACTCTCAACTCATTTCATGTAAGAAAGAGCCAAATTACATGAGCTAGACCAATCACTGAAATACGACGGGTTTATAACGTAAAAAAAACCGACACGACTGGATAACAAGATAGGTGAGACTTGGTTGCCCTGTCATAGTGTTACTGTACATGATCATCTCATCATATGAAAAGTACCAACCTCTGACCAGAATAAGGAACTATAATGACATTATGAGATCTTACTTTTCAAACAGAATGAGAAAAATTAGCAATAGCTAATAAGAAACCTGTTTCTTTCAAATCAATCGATACTTGCGATTTCTCTATGTAGGCCCTCTCGCTTGTTGTCCGAGTAAATTTGGTACTAAAAGCTTAGTTAATTTCACAAAGAAATGGAGCAGCCTAATTCTTTGGCAGCAACATGTAGAATATCGATTGGCAATCCGGTTACAAGTCGACTACGAGCTTCCCAGGTCAAACACTGTTCAAGGTCAGCTTTCCAGTTAATAGGTTCTGTATTGAAGTACTGATAAGATGGACCGTGGACACCATTTATGTTCTTCGGTTTAAATCTACAGATATCTGAACCTGTTTGCAAAATATCGCGAAGAACCAATGTACTCAAAGTACGAACATGTGCACTCGGGTGAGAAAGGCACCGAACCGTAGCTGGTAGACGACACTGTATGGACAAAATCATTTCGATCAACGTGTCGTTAATTGACAAGTGGCGTTATGGTTTCTGATTTCAGAGGCATAATAAATTTGACTGGTCTAAATGTCTTGTCCTGTTTCCTCAAATCAGAATGCATTTGAGAACACTTGAGAAGTGGAAAGATATTACCTTCAAAAGGTTGGCGA